TAATAATAATAATAATAATAATAATAATAATAAAAACAGGGTTTGCATATAAAAATCTAGAAAAAATTACGTGTGATTTTTGCTGTTGAAAGAATTCGCATTGAATCAAAGAGTTTATGCAAAGCGTTCGTAGAATTTTTGCCGTCATTTTCCCGATCAGTTTTGGTATCATTCTGATTTGTTTCAGATATATTGCCCACTTTTTTGCTTGTTTCGGTACCAACTTCTTTGCCAGTTTTAGTTTCCGTACTTGTAAAAAGTTTTGAAGTAAATTTTGTATCTGTTTTATTATTTATCGTATAGCTTAAAAATAAAATTTTCTTCAGTTCTTGAAGTATATCTGTATTTGTGTATCGCATCTGAAATATCGCACCGTCTAAGCAGCTGATTAGGCAGCTCAACTCTATATAGTCTATATTATTTTGTAACCACATTAATTACGAATAAGTGTCTAATTTTTATCAAAAGTTTTTCAGAGAAAAAAAAAGCGGTTTGTAATTATGAAGTTTATGGTAAGTTTAATATAAATAAGAAAAAAAAAGGGTATGAAATTGCTATTTCAATTTTACTCATTCTTTATTTGATTGACCAAATTATTATCACACTTGTTTTTATTTATTTATTTTTTTTTAAAAGTATTTCAGTAGTTCCCAGTAATAAAAGAATTTTGTAGTTAAACTTAATTTGATTTAATAACTACCGTAATGTCTATACTTTTGTAAATATTAAAAGTTTCTGTTAAAACTGTCAGTAATGTTGGTTTTATTGTAAAAACTGTGTTTTTTTTATACGATATATCTTTTTGATATATATATATATATTGTTTAACCTTCACAATATTCATTACAGCATCTGTTATTGGTGTTTGTGGTGAATATGCAATTTCGATACCGATGTGAAAAGTGTGAGAAATATTGTTTAGTTTACTGATATTTAGAAACATACAACTGTCTGTATATCCCGAAGCAAAGTTTTCAATAGCCAGTATTGTTTCCTGTAAACAACATGACTTATTTAGTTGGTTAAAACGAGTAAAATGTCGGTAAAATATTTATCTTTTTACCTTTTTCTATTTTTTAGTTTTCGAGACCAACCAAAATCCTCGACAAAACAGTTATTTTTTATAAATTTAAATTTCGACTAGCACTAACTCCTCTATCAAACAACTAAAATGACTAACAGTTGAAAAATTATGCAAGTCTGGAGGTATCATCAGGTCAACGGCATCTCCTCGAATGAACCACGGTTCATAGTTTAATTGTGGA